TACCTGTCCAAATGTCGTTCAAGTCTGCCCTCTAGAGTAGAGCAACCAGAGTGCCTTGACAGTAACACTGAACTGTATTAGGTTCATAATTCCACACTTGCATTTTCTGGGGGATTGTCACATTCTATTTTACATGTTTCTACATTCTTTGAAATTGTGTCAGATACTACCTTTATAATAAAAAAGTTTCCATCTTAGGAGGGAAAATATTAACTACAAATATAATTTTCATTTTGAGAGAGTAATATATAGCAATGTCTTGTTTAAAATAGGAAGAATTACTTCAAATTTTAGGACCCTATTTGTTTAGAGTCACAGGCAGCCTCAATCTATGTACAGTATCCAAGGGAGATTGCTTCCAGGACCGCCATAGATGTTAAAGTTCAAGGATGCTCAAGTCCCTTACATAAATGGCACAGTATTTGCATAGAACCTATCCATGTCTTCCTTTGTACTTTAAAATAATCCCTAGATTACCTATACATACAATAGCTAATACAATGTAAATGTTACGTAAATAGTGATTATACTGTATTTTTGATCTGTATTTTTTTATGTTTATATTGTTATTTTTGTTGGTTTTCTAAAAATAGTTTTGATCCATGACTAGAGTAACCAGACATCCCAATTTTGGCGGGACAGTCCCACTTTTCAACAATTTGTCCCGCATCCCCCAGCATTTTAAAAATGTCTCAATTTTTGGAAAGAATGCACGAATGGGCTGGAGAACAAGAAGGGAATATACAGTTTTCAGCCGCCATATGGCTATTTCGCCAGAATATGAGTTTTATATTATTTTTGTTAATTTTATAATGTTAAACTGTAATAAATAATTGCTGAGAAGTGATTATCGAGAACTGCTTATCAAAGTTTGCATTGTTGTCAGGCCCTGCCTGCCGGGTCCCCTGCCGGGTCCCCTGCCCTGCTGCCCCCCCCTCCGCCCCCACTCCGCCCCTGCGCCATGTTGTCCCACCTTACAGATGTTAAAATCTAGTCACCCTATCCATGATTGCTTGAATCTGTAGTAGTGGAACCTGAGGATATGGAGGGGCAACTGTAGATTGAGCCACTGCCACGTGATAAACACCTGCTGGGCTTGGGGAAGGCAAAGATGATGAAAATATGGTTTCTACCACTAATAGTTCACAGTCCAGATGGGAAGAAAAACATGTGATGAAATCTATATGAGGAACACAATAGCAGAGGAGAGAATATGAGCAGACAAGGACATTTTTACTTAAAAGAGGAAAAGATGGAAATAAGATAAAGATGGAAGGAGGAAGGAAAGAAGGAAGGGAGGGAGGGAGATTCAGTATAATAAACTTTACTTAAAATGTTGTGACTAGTATTAGGCCAATTAGCACAAATTAACACCTTGGATTAATTAAATTCTAATCCATTTTAAGCTCAGTGCAGCTGAAAAAATAAAACTCAAGTAATACAAACTGAGGCTGGAGAGTAAGGGTACAGATCAGTGCTGTCTAATAGAAATAGAACGTGAGGCACAGGTGTAATTTTTTACTTTCCAGTAGCCACATTTTAAAAAATAAAATGGTAAGATTAATTCTAATAATGTATTTGATTGAGACAAATGCATCTAAAGTATTATCATTTCTTTGTCAGAAATAAGATGAGAGCCAAAGAGCCTGGAATCAGGTAGTGGCAATGAGAGTAGAGGCAACTGGGTAGATCCAAGTGATATTTAGAGATAGAATAGGCAGAAGTTTATTAATTGGATTGAGAACAAGAGAGGAGGAATATGAATGTCTTGAGCCACTGGTAACTGATACTACTGTTCGTGGATTTAGGAAACATAGAGAAGAGCAGATGGAGAGCAGCCAGGGCCCGAAAGAACAGTTTACTTTTAAAGGTGAGTTTGAGATGGCTGTAAACCTCCAGCTGCCTGTATGTTCAGGGGATCCGAATATGTACATATCTGGTGCTTGGTAGAGAGCATGCACCACAGGGATAGATTTGGGAGCTGTTGGCACGTAGTTGGCTGACACCAGGGGCAGTCTGATATTGCCCAGAGAGAACAAGGTGCCTGAGACAAGAGCTTGGGCAGAGCCCAAAGGCAAACAAATATTAAACGATAGGGAACCCTCTCCAAACACCAGCCAGGAGCGGTCAGAGGGCTACAAGAAAACTCAGGACAATGTAAATCTCAATAAAGAGGGAACAGGGATCAGCACTTTCAGGTGGGGTCAAGAAGTCATTCCAGGTAACAAGAACAATATCTTTACAGGACTTGACAGTAAGGAGGTCATGTGTGACTTGGAAGAGAACAGATTCTATGAGGGGTAAAGGCATAAGTCTCACTGAAGCAGATTGAATTGAGCAGGACGTGTAGACAACTCTTTAAGAATTTTTCTGGGAAAGATAGCTAAGTGGGAACTATAGTAAAGCAAGGATGTTATGCATTGGTATATTATAAAGTTAGGTTTTCATGATAGAAGAGGCTTGACCCCATTTAAAGGCTATTAGATAGGAACCATTAAAATTGTGCAATCAACTATTTTATTGATCTGAAAAGAGTTTAATGATATATTATTAACTGAAACGAGATCCCTACTGAAAAAAGTTATTTACGTGTGCATATATTTCTGTGCACATCTACACATAGGTAACATTCTGGAAAGAAGTAACCTATTATTTATCTCTGAGTAGGTAAACTAACATATTTTCATTTTTTATTATTTTTCTTAATCTGTACTTTTTATGATGAGACTTACTGTTTTGTGATCCAAATAATGCAAAAAACTAAGGACTTCATTTTCAGGGAATTCCTCTGCCTCTGCATACTAAGGTTCTGAAAATATGTTGACAGTAGCCTTCATTCCAGTTTGATAAAATTTGAAATCATGATTTTTTTTCACATCTTGCCATCCTTGAGTCTAGGGAGAAGAAACTTCACAAGAATCCTGGCTGGAAGAGAAGGCAGCTACTGACTCAGCCAGCAAACCACTGGATAAGGAAGATCTATCCAGACCTCTCCCCTTACCCATGCTTGGGCCACCTTTCCCCAGACATTTCTATAGAAGCAGAGTAGATGAGTCTCCAGATCTGAAACCTGGTTGGCAAGACTACAAAGTAGCCAGAGCAAGGGCAAGGATACTCCTGTTCTACCCATGACTGCAGTACAGAGCAGATGTCTATGGGAGGCAGGCCTCATCCTCCCCTACAGTGGCGGCAATTAACAGGTAAAGTCACCAGGGGATAGCTCTGAAGCATACCACCGTTTTAGAAAGGCCATGTGGAAGCATCATCCAGAGGAGATGAAGTAGCAGGTGTATCAAAGTTGACAGAATGCCAGTCAAGAGCACAGGCATTTTACTTTTCTTGCACCATTTTTCTCTTATTTTTTTTTCCATACCCCTTTTCTTCTTCATTGTACTGTCTATGTCAAAGCTAGTGTCTTGCATAAGCAGTCAATTACAGTATTAGTTGTAAGTAGTAGTTCTGGGAGATTTTCTTCTTTACAAAATGGAGAATCTAGCTTCCTTGGACATCTGATGATCCAAGGCAGAGATAAAGAATAAACAGGGAAAGCATTAGAGAATCCCAGTATCTTTTCATAGAGGGAAAGAAATTAGTGATATAAAATGGCCTCATGAAGTCAAAACTCGGAGTGTAAAACTAAGTTCAGAGAATCAGTCTTCTTCCATGTAATCAAAATTTAAAGCTACCCCACTTCCTCACTACTGCTCATTCACATGCACATCACACAGATGTTAATTTGGAACTTCTAGAGGGAAATAAAGGTTGTGCCTCAGGTTAGAAGCATGACCTCTGATATCAGAATGAACTGAGCTCTGGCCCTAACTCTGTCACTACAACAGCAAGCTACAGAACTCTTCATAATGTCAGTTTCCTCAACCGGAAAGTGAAGAGAAGAGCGGGCCTGTGATGACTAAAGTTAGGTGTCAAGTTGACTGGTTTAAAGGATATCCAGTTAGCTGATCAAGTAGTATTTCTGGGCATGTCTGTGCCTGTGTTTGTGGAAGAGGTTGGCGTTTGAATCTGAGTAAGGAAGATCCACCCTCACACAAGGCAAATGGGCACCCTCTAATTGGCTGAAGTTCTGAATAGAATAAAAGGCAGAGGAAGAGTGAATTAGCTTGAGTCTTCTGGAACTGGCATACCTTTCCTCTCTTGCCCTTAGACATCTGAATTTAGGGTTTTCCGGCCTGTGGACTCAGGGACTTGCAACAGTGCCATCTCCTCTAACCCCAGGAGATCTTGGACCTTCATTCTCAGACTATTAGACCATCAGCTTCGCTGGTTCTGAGGCTTTCAGACTCAGACTAAGTCACCTCACTGGTGGTTTCCCTGCCTCTGAGGCCTTTGGACTTGGACTGAGCCACACCACCAGCTCCTTGCCTCTCCAGCTGGCAGACAGCCTTTTGGGGGACTTCTCAGCCTCCATAATTTCATAGGCCAATCCCTCTCCTAAATCTCCTCCCATATATCTACATCTGTAAATATAAATATATTCTATTGGTTCTATGTCTCTGGAGAACCCTAACTAATACAAGGTCCCCCACCTCAGAGTAATGAATACATCAAAGCCTTCAACATAGTACCTGGCATGTTAATTACTAGCTCTCCTGAAATAATGGCCACTAGACATAATTACATAATTACCTCCAATAAGAAAGTAAACTTAGTCACACCAATGACTTTTATTTGAGATGATTTATGAGGCTGACACACCAATGACTTTCATTTAAGATGATTTGTGAGGTTGACGTGGAAGAAGGGTTAGTGAAGATATGTGGGTGGCTCTTTAAATATCCTTTTTACATTTCAAAATCTTCTTTCTTCTATTAAAATACTTCTTATTCTCTTTATTCCCATATAAGGGCAACAAAGGAGATGACATTCTCGACAAAGATGCCAGAAGCTTTTGGGCTATGATGCAAGTTGTGTCGCAGAGCGGCCTCATACCCTCCCTACCTCGCCCCCTGAGTCAGCATCCGCTGACACTCTTACAGCTGCCCTCTCCTCTCCACTGACATCCTGAATTGATGTATTGGCTCAAAAAAACCCAGCAGCATCTGATGGCGTGATGTGGGAATAAAGTATTATTCAGGCCCCTTTTCAAACAGGGGGGCCATGCATGCCTCTCCGGGTTCTTCTTTCCTAGAGCTCCTTCCCTCCTCTATTTTCTTTTGGGATCTTATCTCCATCCTCAGGCATTCTCTTTCATTCCTCTCCTTCCCACTCTCAGGCCCCTGAAAAAAGAAGGATCAGAAAAGGGTAGAAATGCACAGCTGCTGAAACTGTGAAAACTTCACATTTCTCTTAACAATCAGACATGAAGAAAGCCCTGATCATTTAGCAGACTTCCACATCTTCGTCTATGGAAATAAATTAGCATAAGCCTAAGTGTGTTGCTAAAGGTTTTCGTCACAAAGGAAAGGGACAGAGGGGCTTGGCATCGGCGGACAGTCTGGGAAGGAAGATCAAGCTACACATGACTGTGACTGTTTGCCTCTGACTTCCCGAGGGGTGCGTGTGATTTCATAGCATGATGAAATTTATAGTCTCTGAGAGGTTTTTGAAAATGAAAGTGGCAGGTGAGACCACACATAGAATAGTCCTAACCTCCTGTGTTCATCTCTTAAAATTACATAAATAGTAGGGTTTACTGTGAGGATTGTGTGAAGAAATTAGCATTAAGAAATGACATCCAACTGGATGAAGCTTGCAACACAGGTTCCATATTTCTTTCCTGATTTACTAAACACACATTATTGTTCTAGGATCAGGAGATATGACACTAGATCGACCTTACTCCTTAGATATTACACCTAGGTAGAGGGAGACAATAAATAAATCTAAAAGGAAATGAGAAAATAATTAATAGTGATAAATGCAACAGTAACTATAAACTGGGTGATCTAAGATACTATTGGGGGAGGGGCACTTCTTTCATTTCTATGGTCAGAGGGTGTCTTTCAAAGGAATTATTGACCAAAAAATTACAATGATAATTGTGGTAATAATATCTATCTATGCTTTTTACATTTAAAAAATAAACAGATAAAATCACTGCTCACTACTCTTGTTCAATGTTTGAACTAGAAACATTGGGAAACTCATGAGTGTCTATCAAGAGAACACGTCGGGGGTGGCTGTCACATGAGCAAAGTCATCAAATCCAACAGCTGTGCAAGTCAGGAGTTATGAAAACATCTGATTACTAGTGGTGTCAGGTGTTCTACAATATTAAATCATTCTCATAGGTAGATTGTTGCATTTCTATTCTTTTTTTTTTTTTTTTGAAGACAAAATCTCACTGTGTTGTCCTCAGTAGAGTGCTGTGCTGTCACAGATCACAGCAACCTCAACCTCTTAGGCTTAAGCGATTCTCTTGCCTCAGCCTCCCTAGTAGCTGGGACTATAGGTGCCCACCACAACTCCAAGCTATCTTGTTGTTGTTTGGCAGGTCTGGCCAGGTTTGAACCCACCAGCCCCGATATATGTGGCAGGCACTCTAGCTGTTGAGCTACAGGCACTGAGCCATTTCATTTCTATTCTTAGTGGTTCATTGGCAAAAGTCAGAAAGCAAAACAAACAATGAAGCAGAGATATACTTTAAGAGGAACTTAAAATTTGTGCTAGCTCTGTAAGTGCATCTCCAGATGATTTCCATTAGATGCATTGCATGCACTCATCTGATCAACTTTCATATTTGGTGCTGGGCACAGTGGCTCACACCTGTAATTCCAGCACTCTGGGAGGCCGAGGCAGGTGGATTGTTTGAACTCAGGAGTTCAAGACCAGCCTAACCAAGAGCCAGACCCCATTTCTAAAAATAGCTGGGCATTATGGTGGGTGCCTATAGACCAGCTACTGGGGAGGCTGAAGTAAGAGGATCACTTCAGCCCAAGAGTTTGAGGTGCTGTGAGCTACAATACCATGGCATTCATTGGAGAGCAATAAAGCGAGACTTTGTCTCAAAAAAATTCATTTTTATCTCTCAGAAATGTCTCTAACACTTATCAGAACAGTATAAAAAAGAGAAAGTATGATGATTATTTCCAACTGGCTTTTTTCCTTATTAGGAGTAAAGGCTATCTGAGAAATGTTCATAAATACTGATCTGATATACATTTTATTACCACATCTCCTAAAAACAAAATGTGAAAAATTTCAAAATAAACCTAATGAGTTTTTAAATATCACAATGAAAGAATTTAATATTGTTAGTCATGATCAGGCCACAAAAGCTCTTTCTGATGCCAAAATATGTAAAATTTAACTGTAGAAATTGGTATACATTTGGTCCCAAATAAAAGATAATATATATTATTTTTTAAATATGCTTTAAAAAATCACTTTTTAATGTAGTTAGCTTTAGACAAGTACATAGATTATAAAAAATCTAAATGTATCTGTATATTTTGAATTTTTAATTTTGCATTAAGATAAATTTTATAATATATTTTTTAAAACTGAAAAAGTGCTCCCATTTTTATATATCAGGTAAAACTGATATATAAAATAAAATATTCAACTTAGAATTAGTTATTATATTATATACAAACTTTTAAATCATTTTATAAATTCCTAACATGTTTCACAATATTATATACACTTGTGAAAAGAGCTGTTGATTTAACAAAGTTGAAAATGCTCCCTTGATTATCTTAGACCTCAAAAGGAAGATTGGAAAATGAATAGAACAAGCATTTTCATATTGCAGAGATAACATGATGAATATCCCTTTAATTAAGCAAACTGCTTTTATGTTTATATACTTTTGGGGCTTACAATGTTAGCAAATGAATTTCAAATAAGTAATTATAAGAGTATGAGTTGTTACATAAAAATCTTTTCTGAATCCATCAGCATCAAATAAAGAAGAGCTCAGATTCAGAGTTTTTTCAAGAGATATTTATGCCCTACCTTATTCCAGAAAGGATTTAAGGCTGATGTATCTGAATTAACATACATTTTAATATGTCAATTTTAAAACAGGATTTTTTTTTTCAAAAAAAAAAAGTTCATAATCTGAATCTGCCAAAAGTTCATAATCTGAATTTAATCTTGAGGAAATATCCCAAACTAAAAGTCTGAAAAATAACTGGCCTGTGGTCTTCAAAAAATGCCAATGTTGTAAAAGACTAAGAAAGTGCTCCAGAATACAATAGATTCTAGGGACATGAAAATTGGTCACAGACATGATCTGGGATTTCACTGTAAAAAAAATGTTATTGGCAGGAGGCTGAGGCAAGAGAATCACTTAAGCTCAGGAGCTGGAGGTTGCTGTGAGCTATGTGACACCATAGCACTCTACCAAGGGCAACAAAGTGAAACCGTGCCAAAAAAAAAAAAAAAAAAAAAAAATGTTATTGGGACAAATGACAAAAAATATAAATAAGGGGCGCCACATATGGCTCAAAGGAGTAGGTTGCCGGCCACATATGCCAGAGGTAGTGGGTTCAACCCCAGCCCCAACCAAAAACTGCAAAAAAAGAAAAATTTAAATAAAAAATAAAATATATAGTAAATTTAGATAGTAAAATATATAGTAAATTTAGATAGCAAATTTAGATAATAAATGACAACTGTTCACTATTCTCCCTTCCTTATTCCTCCTCCTCAGTAAAAGAGAAGCTAGTACTGAAGAGGAGCCATAGATATATAGAGTCACTCTGCAAGGCCAAGATGCACAGCAACAGACCCAACAGCCAAGCTGCTAGGTGCACAGCACTCACTGTGCTCAGATGGACAAAAAAGTAGGAAGCACCCAAGCATCTTAGCCTGTGCATTCAGAGTCTAGCTCAAGAACCAGGAGTCAATACACTTAGGTTTAATCACTTGCTTACTACATGTGAACCTATTATTATCCCTGTTTTGCAAAATACAACAAAAAAAACAGAGGCCCACAAAAAGTAAGTATTTTTCTCAAGGCCATTCAGTGAGCATGTTGCAGAGTTGAAATCACCCCCAAATTAACTGATCTGTAGTTTATTACCTCATGCATCAAGTTTGGCATTATCCACAGAGTTTTTTCCTCTCCCTCATTTCAAGTCTATCTCTCCTTGGTGCTTTGCTTTGACTCCCATGAGGCAATTGTGAACACCTGGACCATTTTTTCTCCTGGATACTTACTAGACTATCCAGACAGTTCCCTCTGTGCATGTGTGTTGTTTTTTGATTTTTGGTTTTGGGGGGTTTTTTGGAGACAGAGTCTTACTGTTTTGCCCTCAGTATAGTACCATGTCATCAAAGCTCACAGCAACTGTAAACTATTGGGCTGAAACTATGCTCTTGCCTCAGCCTCCCAAGTGCTGGGAGTACAGGCATCCACCACAATGCCCATCTACTTTTTAAAGATGGGGTCTTGCTGTTGCTTGGGCTGGTCTCAAACTCTTGAATTCAAGCAATCTACTTGCCTCTGTTCCCACCCCACCCCATCCCTGCAGAGTGCTAGGATTACAGGTATGAGTCACCATGCCTGTCCTCGTGTGGTTTTTTTTTGTAATTAAATCATAAACACATAGATCATATATACATTAATGCATTTATGGGGTACAATCTTGTGTGGTTTTTTTTTAAGTGCAAAGGTATGTGACACCATCATAGACTATCTGCTGGTGAATTAAATATGAAAGGAGAGAATGTTTTCTCTTCTTCAAATAGTAAAAGGAGAATGAGTCACAATTACTTATAAAAAGGTTGATGAAAGCAGGATCAAAGAACTAGAGGACCGGCTCGGTGCCTATAGCTCAACCGGCTAAGGCACCAGCCACGTACACCTAAAGTGGCGGGTTCGAATCCCCAGCCCGGACCCACCAAAAACAACAATGACGGCTGCAACCAAAAAATAGGCAGGCGTTGTGGCAGCACCTGTGGTCCCAGCTACTTGGGAGGCTGAGGCAGGAGACTCACTTGAGCCCAGGAGTTC